GACCCCCGACCCCCCCTCGGCTCATCCACCCCCCCAAACCCCCCCCGGAAGGCCACGCACGGGGGGCCCGAACTCCGTACGTACGGCCCGTACGGGGGTATAGGGGCCCGTACGTACCGCCTACGGGATTTTGTACGGCCTGTATACGTACGGACGTATACACAACGCTTGCTCGATGAGCCGCCTGTGGGTCAGCGCGAAATCTTCGGCCATGTCCACAACCTTGCCAACACCGCGCATTGGAGAAGACGACATTTTGCCAAGTGTCATGCGCGCTCTCTTTCACGAATCCTGCAAGAAAGCCATCAGGAATCGCACACGCATACGAACTTTGGTCAGATTGAACCGCCGCTGTCGTGCACCCGTACGGAGTGCTGACCAGAAAAAAAAAATGAAAAAAAAAAAAAATCAAAAGAAGTGCACGTCTCGGACATGCAGCCGATCACTTCGTGTGCTCCAAGCATGTGATCAACGACCATCTTCCTTGCGGCTGCCACGTTCGCAATGTGTCCCGCCCCCTGGAGGAACAGATGGCGGTTGTCCCACCATCGCATTTGAAAGCATACCGAAGCATTGTAACAGTGTTTTGTTACCGTCGGCCATGGTCTTGTTCATTCCGTCCATGGCCTGTGCAAAACTCCCCGCGATCCTCTCCGCATGAGTCAGACGGTCGTTCGCGTCGACAAGAGCATGTCCAATGTCTGCGAACGAACCTCCCCTTGAAGCATCACTCGAACTCTCTGCCGCGGAACGCCGTTTGTTTCCGCTCACACCCGCGGTCCGTCGAGACTTGTAACCCTTGCGCTGTCAGTATCCGCTTTTCGTCGACCCCCTCCATTCTCACTTGTGCCGCCAGTGTCTTCATCATCTGTGACCGTGCTCGTCTGCCCTCTCTGCAGATTGACACTGTGCATCAGGTCCTCGCACAAACCGTCCGCCTTCCCAAGCTTCCATTGCAGAGCTTCAAACATGTGCTTTTCATATGTCAACGGAAGGCCATTCTCCTTTTTCTCCGAACGCGACATGTCCCAATAGCTTGGCTTCCCTGATTCGCCGCTGTAATCCCGGATCTTTTTTGCTTTGTCAAGGAGGGCGTAGTACTTTGCCTCGCAGTCCTCCATGTCACGTTTTGGAAAGCCTTGCTCAACCATTTTCCCTATTATCCTGTTGTACTTCTCCCGTCTACCCCTGATCTTTTGCCTCCCTTGCCTGCTTTGCTGTGCGCAGTCCTCTTCGAAGAGCAGCCTCATAAGCGCCATGCTCTCCTTGTCTGTCCACTCCAGCTTTCGCTCTTCCGCCTTCACCTTGCTCTGTTCCCCGCGACTCCCCCCCTCCTCCGTGACGGCCCTTTTCCCACTTGCCGCTGGCGGAGTTGCATCGCTGCAGTGTGCACCGCCTTCGTCGTCTGCGACCTCGACAGTCGCAAGTCTTCCACTTTGTGTCCCAGCAATATCCATCGCAGGTTCCGTGAAAGCGCCACCCAACGCCCCATCGATGATAAGCTATTTTCCGCCATTTGTAGGATCGATCCGTCGCATTCCTCTACGTGGCATGTTTCCGGAGTGTACATAGCTGCGAACTCGCTTCCTTGGCTTTGGGGTTCTGCACTAGTTCTATACAGTGCAGGCCATTGTCGGCGTCTCATCGAGCAAGTTACGTCTGCTGAAGGCGTCCGTAAAAGGTATGGATCACTCTAGACTACATGTGCATGGACGATCACCATCTCCTCCGCTTGCTCCCATGGACACGGGCTTCGTAGAAGTAACGCCATCCACTGCAGGCATTGGCAGTCCGGGTTTCCAAGGTTTCTCAGCAGGTGCAGGACCTGCGGGTGTGGCACGCGTTGCCACGTCACTGTCGAACGACTTGCCACCATTGCCGAATTTCAAGCATTTGCACACTCCGGTTTACAGTCCCGGGAAAGAGTCACGAAGTATGACCTCTCTCCTTGTCGAAGGTGACATTTTTGGAGCAGTGCGATATGGAGGAGCAGGGAGATTGGATGCAGACGTTCAAACAGCGTATCCAAACTGGGGGGTGGGACGTGACTGTGGATTTCCACGTGACGGGTTCAAGATGGGGGCGAAGGGGGAGCGGCCACAAAGCGGTCCTCCACCGGTGGGTGCACACTCCATGTCGGGAGGGGTGGGTGGGGGTTCACCAAACACGTACACACCGATGGAGGGTCTGACTTTGCCGTCTTTTGCACACTCCCCACCGAGCACCAACCGTGGTGCCGCTTCTATGCTTGGCCCGCATACCAACGTCAACAACTCCGATGTCCCCATGCCCAACCATTCTCATGATTCGAGTGTAGTATCACATGAATGGCGACGTGGCGAACAGAGGTGGGAATAACATTGGCAGTCCTGAAACATGCCACGTGGAGGAATGCGACGGATCGATCCGACAAATGGCGGAAAATGCAACTTGCTTGGAGTAGGAGATGAACGGCCACGTGGCGAAATGCGGACGAATGGATGTGGATGCAGAAAGACGCCACGTGGCAAAATGGCGGGAGATGGCGGGAGACTGTCGGCAATGTCGACAGCAAGCGCCACCGTATGCCCCACGGAATGCCACCGACTACGAAGACCTGCAAAGCGCCGGACAGCGTCGAGCTATTACCGATACGCGATGGCGGGAGATGGCGGGGGAGCTACAGTTGCTTTGGCCGCCAACTCCGCACGAAAAGGGAACGCGCACTGCCAGGGTGTGCCTTCACACGGGATGGGCACTGCCGAATACCAACATCAGGTCCTCGCACGGCCGTAAGGTGTGCAATCACACAGGCATATTGGACCGACTAGCCCTCTTCGAATCAGCAGCTGGAATTTTCGGCGACCGGGCCCCGTCTGCCTGTGTGGTGGGACATCGGCAGGCCGCATGGCACTGCGGCCGATTCAAACCCGTCGCACAACGTTGTGGCCAGGCGGACGTTCCAAGTGCCTCTTGCGGACATGTAAAAAAAAAAAAAAAAAATGAAAACCCCGCCTTCTTTTTCGAGGAAAAGACGGGGTCGTCTTCCTTTGCGTTTTCAAAAGAACTTTCTGGCCTGCAAACACGGCCGACTCGACACCTCCACTTCCGTTTCCACATCCGCGAGAAAAGAGGGCCCTCTCCGCCTCACACGGAAAGAGGTGGGATCCCAAAAAAGGCCGTTTCTCGGCGAAAAGAATAGAGGTGGGATCTGATTCTTAGTCCACAGATGCAACTATTAGGTCTCTTGAGTCCATCTAGTAGCCTACTCCTAAAATGTCGGGGCTCGAGGCAGGGTTGGAGGCAAAAGAAAAGAAAATGAAAAAAAGAAGAAAAAAATACAAGGGCTTCGAATCCAGAGTAGTCGGGAGGACCCTCACGAAGTGAAAGGTATACCTGTGATTTGAGGAATGTATCCGGCCTCTAAATGAGGAACGTGGTTTTCGTGTCCTTGTAGTGCCCTGCCAGCCAGGCAGGGCGTATTACAGGCGTGAGGTATAACTGTCTTACATACCTCATAGTCACATTAGTCCTGTAGACACGGGTTATTATCACAACAATAGACAATTAAACATATAATAACTATTGTTTATTGCAGGTGCTGCCTACTATTGTGTGGAAGGATATTAACTATTGCTCGTTATAGATGCAGACAACAACAAGACATGATTATTGCTAGCATAGACAACTATTGCAACGACCGTCAGATTATTGGTTCAAGTTGCCGGCTTATTGTGGAAACATGATCTATTGAGATCAGAACTGAGGAAATCAAATTAATAAAGGGAAAACTACACGGGAGTCACAAAAATGAGTTAGAATTGCATTATTAGCCAAGATATAGTTTTAAATTGAAGTTCGAACAATGTACACAACCCAACTTTCTGGTCAGGTAAGATGCCCGAAGTGCAATAACTGCAAACTGTATTTTGCCCCATGGTGCAACTATAACTTGACGGTTGTGACTTCATTGAAGGGCATGTCAAGACCTTTGATAAGCCAGTGACCGACCATTGAAAACTGAATTATTGCAAGGATGATCACTAAGGTGGTTGTTCGGAGTGACCGCGAAAGCGAAAAAAGTTGGTTCGAGGGTAGGAGGGAATTAGAAAGGAGGAAGGGTTGACCATCATTAATGACTTCAACTGCTTCGGCTACTACGGTTGTAACTTCATTTAAGGGCATGTCAAAACTTAAAGATACCTGGGGTCATCTCAATTGAGAAACTATTACAGAGGAACTCATTGTTAGTATATAGACGACAATGTGTTGCTATCTTGAGATAGTGAGTAGGTTACCTGCTCAACCCTCACTCATCTCGACACCCACGATCCCACACAAAAAAATGGCATTTTTTTTTTTTTTTAGTCATCATCTGAAAGGTTTAGGTTGGTCAAAAATGGTCCTTATTGCTCCTTAATGGGTAATGTCAGGTCAGATTGAATGACTAGTCGAAAATGAGATGTCTAGTTGTATGAGGTCTGAGAATGTGAGGTCAAATTGGTTGAAGTGAAAAAATGGTCGACCTGGTTAGCCTTGTGTGATTGTGTTTTGTGTGTTTTACATGTCAGTAAACGAACTTCCCTGCACAAATTATTGCTAAGTTGTATTGATAATATTGTGCTAATTCCGCTTAAACCCAAACACTCCAATGGAGCATTTTTTATATATATATGGTTTGCGTTATCCACTCTCTCTTTTATCTTGATGTTCTAATAGACCAGGAATATTGAAAATGACAAAAACCTCTTGCATTTTATGTTCTTTGAAAGACATGAAGCCTGTGTTTATTTTAATTGTTTGATTAAATCGTTAAAAAACTCTGCATTTTTCATGGCGATGTCGCTTGTGTGTGTGTATCTCATTGCTTCTTGCAACCAACCTCTTGAAAATCCTAATTGTCAGCAAATTAATTACAAAAAGTATTGCGTATTGAAAATTAACTTATTCAGTCTCATATTTGATTGATAACGATGAGTTTAGTAGTAGACAAACAATAGTATAGACATTCAAGGACGAATCACTTTGTTGTTTGATGAAGGATGATTTGACTACTTGATGAGTGATATATTAACTGCTTGATGAATAATATTTTGATCGTTTGATTAATGATGTTGACTTTCAAATGAATGCAAAATTGTATGATATTGGAGGAAGAAGTGGATAGAGGGTTTAAGCATTTGTTCAATCGCTTCATGTATGTTGATTTGACCTTTTGATTGAATGTTTTTTTTCTTAAGTAAATGGATAGAGGGTCCGAATGTCCGTTCAGTTCCTTCATGTATGTTGATTTGATATATTGATTGAATGATTTTTTAGAAGCAGTTGGATAGAGTGTCTTAGTGTCTGTTTTGGTGTTTTATGTATGTTGATTTAGTCTGTTGATTGAATGGTTAAAAAAACTAGTTGGATAGAGGGTCTGAGTGTCCGTTCCGCTGTATCGTATATTAAAAAAAATGATTTATTCTTTGAATGGTTTCAAAAGGTAATTGGATAAAAGGTTTGGGTGTACGTTCACTCACTTCATGTATGACGAATATGAATGTCAATTGAAGTGACTGCATGGCGTTTGAAAAAATGATCGATAAGGTGGTGAGGACTCAACGCTGAGCAATTCCTCTCACAAAAGCAAATGTGATATTGACTTATGACTAGCTGCTTGCTTTTTTTCCTTAGCAAGACTATCAAAAATATGTTCAAGTGAGTATTATTGTAGACATTTTTAATCAATAGATTGTTCCAGAATGACACTTAAAGAGTCTATTCCAAGCTTCAATATATTAGTAGGTCAGTAAACGATCCTCAAAATACAGTTCATTGCAACTTGTTTTGACAAACTCATTCTCATTTAAATAGTATAGATCTCAGCACACTTTCGCATGTCGGCCGAGCGAGTGGGCGTGCCTGTCACTATATTAAAGCTTCTAAAAAAGACGGAATCTCACCGAACATCCATACAATCATTTCGGGCGAGAGGATGGATATGCCTACGTTACTTAGGAATAACTTAAGTGAACTTGTCCAACAAGGATAAAATCAAGGCACCTTGCTCATCATAATTATAAACAAGTATGGATCTCAGCACAATTCCGCATATCGGGGGCACCTTGCTTATCACAATTATAAACAAGTATGGATCTCAGCACAATTCCTCATATAGGGCGAATGGATGGGCGAGTGGATGGGCATGCCTACGTTGCTTAGGCTGCAACCAAAAATGAATTCGTTAGAAAGAGGACACCATATAATGTCCTATTTTAATGAATAACATGTTATATATATATTTTATATATATATATATATGCACATATATATATATCGTGTCTCATTTGTTATTTTTCTATCTTTTAGTGTACTGTTATTTCTTCTTCATGTTGTGTTCCACCTTCTATTGACTTTCTTCGTGTTACATAAAGACGTACGTGTGACACCTACGTCGGGGGAAGTCGCCGCTGTATTTTATAATTAGGTGTGGGATTATGTGTCGCTTTGTTTTCGCAAGGAGTTAAAATACAACTTGTGATCCGTGAAACTGTGCCTCCACATGTGCAGGT